GCAAATGTACAACGTTTCGACAAATAGTACAAATTTATCAATCAATATAAAAAACAAAACAGATTTATCAATTAATAATGGCTGGAGACGGCTTAAATGGGTAATGAAGAAAAACTTTAATATAAGCTTAACATGACAGCAAATGTACAACGTTTCGACAAATAGTACAAATTTATCAATCAATATAACAAAACAGTACATATTTGTCAATCAAAATAAAAAATAGTACAAATTTATCAAATGTACAACGTTTCAACAAGGTTTTGTCATCATCAACTCCTGATGATGACAAAACCTTGTCGAAACGTTGTACATTTGCTGTCATGTTAAGCTTATATTAAAGTTTTTCTTCATTACCCATTTAAGCCGTCTCCAGCCATTATTAAATGTTCAATAAGAAAAACAACCTTTTCACTACGACTATCCACGTAAATTAAATATTGCTATTATGTTTGTTTTTTATTAAGCATAAAAATATGTAATGGGCTATTTTTGCATTATACAGTTTTGGTCTTATAAGTTTTCTTCTTCTTACTTTAAATTCATTTAACTTTGGTGATTTGGGAGGGGGTTGTGATTTGAGGGTCTTGGGGTTCGATTCCTATTGCTACCGAACTTGCTTGCACAGTTATTGTTATGGCAAAGTATTGTGCCACTGTCACCAAGGTTATGCGTCACTGTTACTAAGACTATGTGTCACTGTCGCTAAGGCTATTGAAAGATGTACAAAAAGCAGTTCCAACTTTCTAACTGTCTTATTATAATAAATTAACAAACAACGATTTCTATGCTTAATAAAATGGTATATTTTGGGGAACATTCTACGTTACATATTTCGACAGACCAATGTTTTGTCGAAACAAATAACCTAGCATGTTCCCCTAAAACAAACCACTTCATATGCTTATAAATCATTTGTTTGTCAATTGCTATGAATTCCCTAAGAAGATACTTAATAAAATTAGTTTTCCTGCAACAACATTTAGCTGTAAAGTATCTGTACCTAGTTGATTCTTGTAAGGGTTGAAGAATCGCCATGAATTGTAAGGTGAAATCGAACCAGTCATGACGTAAGTGTTAAAATTACGTCATGGCTTACTGTGTGAAGCATAGTTCAATTCCATGTTGTTAAGCAAGTGTCATATATGATCACTAAAATATACACGTATAAATTACATAATTATGTAAACACATACTTATGAAAATATAAATGATAGGGCACACGTTTATATAAATTATGATTTTATATGTATAAATAAATACATTTTAAAATTTGGATGTCAGCAACCTCAGTAGCCATTAGTGATATTACAAGTAACACAATATATGTTTCGTAGGTTTTAATTAAAATAAATGCAGGATAATGCATGTGGATTGTCATAATTTGAATTATAACCATAATTTGGATGAGAATAACTTTAACGGTGTCATGAAAGAAAGGGATCTTGATGTAATGGTTGATCAGTCTCTTAAGCCATCCAGCAGTGTGCTGTTGCTAGTCGTAGGGTAAACAGGATTTTAGGTTGTATCTACAGAAATATTGAAAACAATTCTAAAGAGGTTATTATTTCGTTGTATAAGTCGTTGTGGTTAGGCCACATTTGGAGTATTGTGTTCAGTCTTTGGCTCCTTACCTTAAGAAGGACATTGAATTGAATGGTGCCTGAAATGGAGTGATTGTCATACGAGGAGAGTTTCAGATCTTTGAAATTGTCTTCTCTTGAAAAAAGAAGAGTTAGAGGGGATCTGATTAAGGGGTTTAAAATTGTAAAGCGAATTGATAATGTTGCTGCATCATCTTTTTTTCATACTTAATGAAGAGAATAGTAGGACAAAATATAAATTTTGGCAAGGTAGGAGTCATCTTCAGCTAAGACAGTTATATTTTTCTTACAGGGTGGTTGGCCTCTGAAATAAGTTGTCTTCGGATGTTGTGGAGGCAGTACATTTAAATGTGTTTAAAAGAAAGCTTGATAAATATATGAATGATAAGGGCTAAATTTAAGATTTTTTAAAATTTATTTATTTAATAGTTTTAGTTTAGTTTAAAGGATGGGACAGCCGAGATGGACCAATAGGTCCCTAGTTGTCCCTAAGCATTATGTTATTTTATATGTTATGTAAACTAGGTAATTAGTCACCTTAAGAGCACACTGGTGATTTTATCAGATCCAACAAAACACAGTGGTTTTATATGTAAATATATATAAATGTATATAAACTCACTAATTAACAACTTCAATAATATACTAATGATTTTATAAGTAAAATATATTTAAACTTGGTAATTGGTAACTTGGGCAATATAGTAGTGATTTCATATGCAAAACAAAACTGCCTTTTAAACTTGGATATCAGAAACACCAACAGTCAGCATAGTTCCACGTCAAAACAAAAAAAGAGGAAAAATAACAGAATAACGTAACATTAACCCTAACAAAATTATATCTGGAATATGTTTATGTTTAACGTGAGTAGTATATATATGTAAAAGGTAACCCATCTATATTAAGTTAGTCTTAACTTTAATTATAGTTAAATATATAAAAAAACGTCCTGGTGGAACCTGATTTAATTTATTAAAAATAACTGTAAATTTAATTATATAAGTTCATAACAAATTTAGTAACTAAATCCATTAACTTTTCAGTCATATATAATTAATAAGACTTCTATTTGTTTAATGTTTTATTTAACTGTAAGTCTATCAGTATTTCTTTTTTATTGAGATTTAAGTTGAATTTTATTTCATCATATCATGTTAATATACAATTCAGCTTGGGTTTCTGTTTTACTTTAAACTTGTACGACTTCTCAAAATAAAACTTTTACCATAAATAATAGCCACAAAATGATCATAAAATTAAATCTTAGTTTTGTCGTAGCTTTTCTCACGAAAAGTTTAACGAACAGTTGGACAAATTTCTTCCATTAAAAATTAGCTCTAGCGGTGGTTTGAATTTCGCGCAAAGCTACACGAGGGCTATCTACGCTAGCCGTCCCTAATTTAGCAGTGAAAGACTAGAGGGAAGGCAGCTAGTCATAATCACCCACCGCCAACTTTTAGTCTACTCTTTTTACCAACGAATAGTAGGATTGACCATTACATTATAACGCCCCCACGGCTGAATAGGGGAGCATGTTTTGTGGAACGGGGACTCGAACCCACGACCCTCAGATTGCGAGTCAAGCGCACTAACCACCTCGCGGTGGCTGAGTGGTAAGCTTGAAAGAATTATAACGCTAAAATTCGAGGTTTGATCCCTATGATAGCCCATTAGGTAGCACTGAGCAAATCAACAAACAAACTTAAAAATTGAATTTTAACATACATTATACTGTGCCGATTTTAATTCAAAATTTTGTTTTTAAATTAGTTTTATCATAATGTTTTTAACTGAAATGTGAATTGCAGGAAATGGTTTCAGGTTGAGAGTTAAAAAGTCCGGACTGTCAAATGACCTCAAAATTTTGACATTTTTTTTTTTTTTTTCATGTGCTTATGGTTAGCTCTGTAATGTACACCTTTGTATCTAAATATCTATCTATGTAGACTGTATTCTAAATATGGAATGTGCGACTAGTAATACGATTCACCTAAACCTTTTAAACAAGGCTTAAAACTATGAACTGAAATCACTTTAGTAAAATTTACATGGCGGACGTTCTGTTGGAAATATGTTGGAACATATACGGTATGACTCCAATTTTCTACAACACAGAGGATTTTTTGAAACCAATACCCAGTAAAAGGCAAATTTTAATGTAGTATAAACCCTTGTCCTCAAGTTGAACTACAAGTTTTATTCTACTTAGTTCCAACAGCTTTTACCGTTTAACCGGGGAGTTAAGTGTAGTTTCACGGCATGAATGGGAGGTCTCTCCACGTCGGCACTAGCCGTAGTTTAATGTCGGATTTAACAAGAGTTGAGTTGACATCCCCGGCTTTTATATTTCATGAAAAAAAAAAAATGTAATCTTTTCTATTTAGGACAAGAACATAAAAAATACACTGTTAAAGCTCATTTGTATCGTATGGTATAAGTTGGTTTGAATTTCGCGCAAAGCTACACGAAGGTTATCTGCGATAGCCGTCCCTAATTTAGCAGTAATAGATTAGAGGGAAGGCAGCTAGTCAACACCACCCACCGCTAACTCTTGAGCTACTCTTTTACTAACGAATAATGGAATTGAACCTTACATTATAACGCTTTCACGGCTGAAAAGGAGAGCACGTTCAG